TTTTTTTTTTGTATTTTTAGTAAAGACGGGGTTTCAGCATGTTGGTCAAGCTGGTCTCAAACTCCTGACCTAGTGATCTGCCTACCTGGGCCTCCCAAAGTGCTGGGATTACAGGTGTGAGATATCGCACCAGGCTGAAAAGTTCTTGAAGGAAATTAAAAGTGCTACTCCAGTGAATACAGGAATGATAAGAAAGCAAAACAGCCGTATTGCTGATAGGGAGAAAGTTTTAGAGGTCTGGATAAAAGATCAGACCAGCCACAGCACTCCCTTAAGACAAAGCCTAATCCAGGGCAAAGCCCTAACTCTCTTCAATTCTACGAAGGCTGAGAGAGGTATGGAAGCTGCACAAGAAAAGCTGGAAAGTAGCAGAGGATGGTTCATGAGGTTTAAGGCAAGAAGCTGTCTCCATAACATAAAAGGGCAAGGTGAAGCAGCAAGTGCTGATGGGAGAAGCTACAGAAAGTTATCCGGAAGATCTAGCTAAGGTAACTGACAAAGGTGGCTACACCAAACAACAGATTTCCCTGTAGATAAAACAGCCTTCTACTGAAAGATGCCATCTAGGATTTTCATGGCTAGAGAGAAGTCAATGTCTGGCTTCAAACCTTCAAAAGACAGGCTGGTCACTTTAAATTGAGGTCAATGCTCATTTGTCACTCAGAAAATCCTAGGGCTCTTAAGAGTTATCCTAAATCTACTCTGCCAGTGCTCTACAATAAAAAAAGCCTGGATGAAGCACTTCTGTTTACAGGCCCCTGTTGAGACCTACTCCTCAGGTAAAAAGATTCCTTTCAAAATATTACTGGTCATTGACAATGTACCTTGTCATCCAAGAGCTCTGATGGAGATGTATGAGATTAATGTTGTTTTCACAGCCACTAATACAACACCCATTCTGTAGCCCACAGATCAAGGAGTCATTTCAACTTCCAAGTTTCATTATTTAAGAAATACATTTCACAAGACTGTAGTTGCCATAGATAGTGATTGTTCTGATGAATCTGGTCAAAGTAAACTGAAAACCTTCTGGAAAAATTTCACTAGTCTAGATGCCATTCAGAACATTCATGATTCATGGGAGGTCATAGTATCAACATTAAGAGACATTGAGAAGTTGATTCCCACAACTCATGGATGACTTTGAGGGGTTAAAGACTTCAGTAGAGGAAGTAACTGCAGATATGGTAGAAATAGCAAGAGAATTAGAAGTGGAGCCTAAAGATGTGACTAAATTGCTGCAATCTCATGATAAAACTTGAACAAATGACTTGCTTCTTACAGATGAGCAAAGAAAGTAGTTTTTTGAGATAGGATCTACTTCTGGTGAAGATGCTGTAAACACCGTCAAAATGACAACAAAGGATTTAAAATATTACATCAACTTAGTTGATAAAGCAGCAGCAGGGTTTAAGAAGATTCATTAATGAGTTCTACTATGGGAAAAATGCTATCAAATTCTGTAGCATTGCATGCTACAGAAAAATCTTTTGTGAAAGGAAGAGTCAACTGTTTCAGCAAACTTCACTGTTGTCTTATTTCTTGTTGGGGGTAGACAGGGTATTGCTCTGTCCCCCAGTGGCACAATCGCAGCTTACTGGAGCCCTGAACTTCTGGGCTCAAGCAATCCTCCCCCTCAGCCTCCCAAGTAGCTGTGGACTACAGGTGTGTGCCACTACACCCACCTAATGTTTTTTATTTTTATTAGAGACAAGGTCTTGCTATGTTGCCCAGGCCAGTCTTAAACTCCTGAGCTCAAGCAATCCTCCCACTTTGGCCTCCCAAAGTTCTGGGATTATAGGTATGAGCCACTGTGCCCAGCCCATTGTCTTATTTTAAGAAATTATCTATATAAGTAAGAAATGCTTCAATAATAATAATAATAATAATAATAATAATAATACACTGAGTCTTCAGCAACCACCACCCTGATAAGTCAGCAGCCACCAACATCAGGGCAAGACCTACTCCAGCAAAAAGACTGACTAGCCAAAGGTTCAAATAATCATTAGCACTTTTCAGTAATATTTTAAGGTGCGTACTTTTTTTTAGACATAATGCTACTACACACTTAATAGATTACAGTATAGTGTAAACATAACTTTTATATGCACCGGGAAACCAAAAAATGTATGTGTCTTGTTTTATTGTGACAGTCACTTTATTGTGGTGGTCTGGAACCAAATCCACAATATCTCTGACGTATGCCTATCTGGGGTCTGAAACAACCCCGTAGCTTCCAGGCCAAAGAATAGCAACCTCTCTTTCCTCACTAAAAATACAGTCAAAATGTTCTACTGAAGAGGAAGGGCTCCAACTCCAGTTCTCCCACTTATTAGATGTGTGACCAAAGCAAATGAGCTTAATTCTCAGGCCTGGTTACCTCCTGCAAAGTGGAGATAATAAAATGTACCTCACATACAGCATTTAGTAGTAGAAGTGTGGTTATTACTGGTATCCCCCCGTCATCTGCTAAATGTGGTCCTGAGCAAATTACTTACCTCTTGGAGCACCAGGATCCACCATCAGCAAAACTGGACTACCAATGCTTACTTCCCTGGGTGATTTATGAGGATTAAATGGAATATAAATGAAAGGCACATCATACGTTAGCTGAATCTAAATAACTGTGGCGGTCTCTGGAGTCAGCAACTGAGTTTGAAGCCAGCTTCTACTGCTTTATTATAGCTGTATAACCTTGAGCAAATGGCAACCTCTCTGACTCTCAGTTTCCTTGTCTGTAAAATATGACTGAAAACAGTACCTACGAAACAGAGTGGCTGTGAGGACCCAATGTGCCCCTGGAACACAACAAGCACTCAGTGAGAGCTACTGTTTTTGCTGTTTTTTCTGCCTCTGCTCCCCACATGGCTTTCCTGTACTGATGAGAAAAGGCACAGATCCTGAAGAGCTCTGAGCTTTGTGAAGAGAAACTGAGGCCCAGACTCAGATCTGGGATGAAGAGTCACCTGTACCAAGTGCCCAATCCTCAACCCTCGCCTCAGCACCAGGTGGAGAGCATCCTCATCCCTGCTCGTGGAACGCTTCTCTGCAAAGGCCAGGAAGGTGTGGGTGGGGGGTATGTAGAGCAGGGCTGGGATCCGGTAGGTAATCCCTCTGTCATCTTCCTGCCGGAACAGAGGGCTGTTGAAGGAGCATGTTGTCACTTCTTCCATGACCTCTGCAAGGATAGAAGGCAGCTCAATGTGTGTCCATACCCAAATGCTGGCCTGCATATAAATTCTGCTTCATCATATCACTTCTGGAGAGCAAAGGGGAGGCACAGATACATATTCAAATGTTTATTTATACAAGAGTAACATATGCTCTCAATAGTACAAAGCAAGCAATATACATTCTTATTTAACAAATGAGAATTTCATTAACTCCAGACCCTGTGGGAATTCTGTGTGGCCTGTGTCAAGTATGTATCTTGGAGCAGAGCGGTTTTGCATTTCTTTTTGCCAAGCATCCAGGGGTATTACCAGCCTGAGGTGGTTTTTAATGTCAATTCTTGACTTGGAGTTTCTAGGCCATTTGGGTGTCTGTACGAGTGAATGGCTGTGGTTAAGAATTTTCTGGGAAAACTTTTTTTCTGTACAAAAGCCTAGGATAAAAGGCAATCTTCTTTGTCTTCTCTCTGTGTCAGTAGGGAGAATTTTTTTTTTTCCTAGTAGATCTGGTATGATATATGTCCCCTCCAAAACTCATGTTGAAACTTAATCCCCGATATGGCAGTGTTGAGAGGTGGGGCCTCTAAGAGGTGACTGGGTTATAAGGGCTCTGTCCTCATGAATGAATGAATGGATGAATGCGTTATCAAGGGAGTTGCATTAGGGGCTTTATAAGAGGAAAACCAGAGATCTGAGCTAGCATAGTCAGCTCCCTTGCCATGTGATGCCTTGTGCTGCCTTCAGACTCTGCAGAGTCCCCACTAGCAAGAAAGCCCTCACCAGATGTGGCCTCTGGACCTTGGATTTCTCAGACTCCATAACTGTAAGAAATTTCTTTTCTTTATAAGTTATCCAGTTTCAGGTATTCTGTTATAAGCAACAGAAAATGAATTAAGATACTAGTCCACCCTATCAGAAGGTATACACCCTACACAGGGTGCAGATTTTCAAGGGACCTAGTTTCATGTGAGGATTTCACATGCCATCCTCTGTCAAAAACTAGAGTCTAACCAGGCTGGGCACGGTGGCTCACGCCTGTAATCCCAGTACTCTGGGAGGCCGAGGTGGGCAGATCACGAGGTCAGGAGATGGAGACCATCCTGGCTAACATGGTGAAACCCTGTCTCTACTGAAAATACAAAAAAATTAGCTGGGCATAGTGGCGGGTGCCTGTAGTCCCAGCTACTCAGGAGGCTGAGGCAGGAGAATGGTGTGAATCCAGGAGGCGGAGCTTGCAGTGAGCCGAGATTGCATCACTGCACTCCAGCCTGGGCGACAAAGCAAGATTCCGTCTCAAAAACAAAACAAAACAACAACAAAAACCCACTAGAGTCTAACCCATGCGGACCTATAGCTTCATTTGGTATAAAAACAGGCCTATTAAAGTCCAAGTTTCTAGGTGAGACATCCAGTACAGCTGAGGGCAGATTAAGGAGCTAATCACTCTGGTTTTCAGTTCACGCTTGGTTTCTTAGTCCCTGGAGATTTCTCTTACTTTCTCACAAATTCAGCTATAAAGGGCTTTGTTATTTTTTTTTTCTTTTGAGATGGAGTTTTGCTCTTGTTGCCCAAGCTTGAGTGCAATGGCGTGAGCTCGGCTCACTGCAACCTCCACCTCCTGGGTTCAAACAATTCTCCTGCCTCAGCCTCCCGAGTAGCTGGGACTGCAAGCGCCTGCCACCACGCCCAGCTAATTTTTTGTATTTTTAGCAGAGATGGGTTTCACCACGTTGGCCAGGCTGGTCTCAAATTCCTGACCTCAGGTGGTCCACCCACCTCGGCCTCCCAAAGCGCTGGTACTACAGGTGTGAGCCACCATGCCCGGCTGCCTTTGTTATATTTTACCCCCCATTTTACAGTTTGGCTACCCTGCCATAATGCTCACAATGGAGTCTCCAAGTATTCTTCTTAAAGAAAACCAGGTGTTCCACTTCTCAGAGGCCCAAAAGGGGAATCAAGCCAGACAGACAAAAGGCAGCCTTAGAATTACTTTTTCCTCAAACCAACTGTCATCCAAACCCAACTTTACAAATCATTTGTAAATATTATCAGGCTGTAAGAACGATTTATTCAATAAATATTTCTAGGTGTCTCCTCCATGTCAGGCTCTAAAATAGGTGCTGAGAAGATAGAGAAGGATCAGAGGTTCCTGCTCTCAAGAAACCCAATCAAGTGAGGGAAACAGACATATACATGGACAATTATAACACGATGTAATAAGTGCTACTTTAGATGTAAACACAATAGCAAGTAGAAAAACATAAAAGTGGCATCTGTCCAGATCAAGGCACCAGAGAAGGATTTTTGGAGAGAATTATTGAGCCAAAAGAGCTCCTGCCTCATATAGTCACAGGCTCTGCCTGGAACACTCGTTTCAGATAGTCACATAACACTCTCTCAACTTCTTCAGCTCTGCTCAAACATCATCCAATCAGTAGGGTTTCTCTGTCAACTCCTTTGCCCCAGCCTATCTTCTTTCCTTGTTCTATTCTCCACACCACTTATCACACTTTGATGTCTCCTATGTTACATTTGTTTAATACATACCACAAAATGGAAGCTCCAGAAAGGGCAAGGGTATGTCTGTTTCTTATTGCTCCACCTTGACACCTAGAACTATGCCTAGTATATAATAGGCACTCAACAAATTTTTGTTGAATGACTGAATGAATGAGTGAGCCAGATCTTAAAGAATGAATAGTGGGTTAGCCAACTGAGGGTGAAAAGAAGAAGGGTAGAGGACGAGGATGTGAAAAGCGTATAGGTGACAGAAAACAACCTATAGGTTAGCCAACTGAGGGTGAAAAGGAGAAGGGCAGAGGACAAGGATGTGAAAAGCCTATAGGTGACAGAAAACACAGAGAGTTGTAGGGCCTCTCAGTAGTTTAGTATGACTACAGTAAGATGGAGTGCAAGGGATGGGGCAGAGGTGGGACTGAAGGGGTCAGTACAGTCCAGATCCTGGGAGGCTTAGATACTTTATTAAGGTGTTTATTCCACAGATGGGACACCACTCAAGAGTTCTTGACAGAGGAATGGCATGATGATTTTAGACCAATCTTCCAGGAAGCTTTCAGGACAATGAACTATAGGGCAAAGTTGCACTGCTTTTGGTTACAGCCTCCTAGTGTCAATCAAGACAACTTTTATCAATAGCATATGAATACTTAGTCACTTGTTCCTAACTTAAAGAAGGGAAAAGAACTATGGCTCAGTATCATGAGGGGAACTGCGGGAATGGCCTTGCTGAGTCCAGAAGAAAAGCCTCCCTTCATTTCAATCTCAGACTCTCAACAGCAGAATCAAAAGATAAGCAAGGGGAGACCATCTTCTCACCCAATACTAGAGCACACTTCTCTCCCCTCAATTCAGGCTGTCCTCCCTGGGAGGGTCAGGCTTTGTTCTAAGCAAATAATCTGTCTCTGAGCCAGGCTGGGGTAATGGTTAAGAACATAGGATTTGGACCAGGCCAGGACTATGTGACCTTGGGCATGTTACTCAACTTCTCTATGCTTCAGGATCCTCCCCTATACAATTCAGTAGAGTAGGTGATAGAAATAAAATGCTTAACTACAGTGGCTATTACAAGGCCTGTGACATAGTATGAGTGCAATATACAACAGTTATTTTTAAACTACCAACTAATGTATATTCTAGTTTTATTCCTTGAATCCTGTGGATAACAATGACAATAATAACAATTACAACTCTTTCTTAAAAACATTTAAATCCCTCTTTATTGCTGAAAGAGAACATACTTTAAACTCTTACCACTTTAATTAGAAGTTAAACCAACACTACTATCATCAGACAACATGTGACTATTAGTTAAATTTAAACAGGAATTCTCCAGGTGATAAGAAGAATGGAGCACAGGATAGGCATGGAGTAGGATAGGGCTCAGAACAGGAAAGGAAGAGGCTGGGTGCGGTGGCTCATGCCTGTAATCCCAGCACTTTGGGAGGC